GGCCGCTTTGAGCGTTCACACTAGAGCGCGTTTGCTGTCGCATTTTATTTGTAGTGTGAACGAGCAGACAAAAAAATCGGATTTGATTTGATTGAGCATTAAGACCTGCAGAGTGAACGTAGCCTCACATTCACTCAGCAGACTGGGAATGAACCACCAACCTTCTGGTTGGGTGACCTGCTCTACCACCTGAGCTAAAGCCACCCCACAGGTAGGATCTGCCTTCTAGTTACTACATCAGCACTTCATAACAGCAACCAGAACCAATGCTCAGACAGTTACTTGGACATCTGGTGGCAGCATCAAGCACAGAAGCTCTGCTTACTGCCAGGAACGAGCTGAAGTCGTCCATGAACATGTGGAAGGATGTGCAGTCGGGCTCAGCCTGGCATCTCACTCAGGACGAATGCTCATTAATTATGTAATAATTCATCTTCTGGCCTCCTGGCATATTGGATCTGACATGTTCAGTGTATTTGAACAGTCTTGACGCGCTAACCTGTGAGGGAGCCTTCAGCCAGCAGGTCCTGCAGTCTGCTGATGGCATCTTGTGTCCTCATCCCAAAATGAGAAGCCAGATCCTCCAGGAGAACCACCTTCGAGGTCTGCAGCAGAGGAGACCGTTAGAAAGACGCCGACTGATGTCAGCAGGGAGCAGCGGCGGAGTGGCGGCCTTACCTCGATGTGCTGGATGAATTCTTGCAGCAGGTTGCGTGACTGAGAATACACAAGCAGAGGTTTACTCCAAATAAAACAGGGATGCTTAACATGATGTCACCAGTCTGACCTGGTCCTCAGAGAGCTGCTCCTCCTCTCCCTGCTCTTCTACGATGAAGGAAGCCTTGAGTCTCAGGTACTCTTCCTCCTCGCGCTTTTCCTGCTCCTCTTTAGCTCGGCGCTCCTGCTCCTCCTGAGTGGAGAGCAGCACAGCATCAGCAGCTGATCACGTGATCACAGAGGAAAGCTGCTGAGGAGACTGTGAGACCTGTTTCTGTTCCTGCAGACGCTCCTTCTCCTCCGCCTGCTGCCTCTCCTGCTCTCTGAGCTCCTGCATCCTCCTCCTTTCCTCCCGTTCTTCCATCTCAGCCTGAAAA